TTAAATTGATGCACTTAAATGTTGTGCATAAAAGCAAAAAAATTATTCTGGAACAAAAAATGCTGCTATTTTATATATGCTGCTATCTGGAATTTTAACCTTTTAGCAATGATTTTCTGAATGAGCCATTTGCTTTTAAGGAAAATATGCAAACATATTTCTTTCACATAAGAAAATGAAGGTATTTTGAAAGTATTCTTTTTCAATATTTAGGCAATGAATTTATAATCAGTATTATAAAGCAACAGATATAATAGCTTTACACACTAATTTCTTTCCTTGTAGAAGGACTCCATTTCTATCCTAGTAAAGTGCCATATAATATAAGAAATAATAATACACAGTACTTGGATATTACGGCAAAAAAAGGCTTATGGATACTTTGGAATGACTTTGTTTTTATTGTAAATATGGAACGCTCATGACTTGCTCAAACAATTTTATGTAAGAAATATCCTACTATCAAGTGAACAAACTTTTTCTCAATAATTATTTTTACATCCCAGAATAAATTGAAAATGTCTATATATAAATCACAAAGAGGTTTGTTTTCATAGATTTCCATTCACAGCATCAGTAATTTCAATGTACATCAGTGATCTTTGTTTCTGACTTTTCTTTAAACATGCTGCCATAGAAACATTAGATTTCTATAAATATATCAGAAACTAAAATGAAAGGGTAATATGATGTATGTTAAAAATAACAAAGTTTACCAGGGTTTTTTTTGTACAGACTTACTGAAATTCATATCTTTAATGCGTCAAATGTACACCCTTTGAGTGCCCTATGTGTACCTATGCTTCCTGCACTGTAGAGTCCAGATCAGCCCTCACATATCCATGTATTCAGTGTTGGCAACACAGTTTGGATATTGCTGAATAATATTGCATATAGACATTTTCCACTGCATTTTCTGCTTGAATTAAAATAGTAGTAAGTGAAGAGTTGTCATGGATAGAAACAATATCAATACATTGTCAATATATTTTTTGTAAACAATAATTGATACATATTTGAAAACTATATGATGATGTTATGCAATGTAATGTACACATTTCATAGCATTTATAAACAAGACACGCCAAAATAATTATGGGTTGTTTTTTTTTTACTGAAATCATGAAATCATCAAAGTAATTTTCAATATATTGATACAGTACAGTATAATTATGCTTTGCCAGCTATGGTTGCAAGTCTATCGCTGGGTAAGAATTGAGCCATGTCACAACAAAACCAACATAGTACGTTTGCGACCAGCATGGATCCAGACCAGCCTGCGCATCCGTGCAGTCTGATCAGGATCCATGCTGTTCGCTATCAGTTTCTCTACTTGTAACAGGGTTGGTAAGCGAACAGCATGGATCCTGATCAGACTGCGCAGATGCGCAGGCTGGTCTGGATCCATGCTGGTCGCAAACGCACTATGTTGGTTTTGTTGTGACACGGCTCAATTAATCTGTAATAATTTGTCAAAATATCTAAAACTAATTTTTATGTTTTTTGAATCAGTTTGAAAGCAGTTTGACATCAATTTCATAAATATTTAGGCTAAATATTTTCCTATAAAATGTCAGTTAATTCTATAGTTCATAGTTAATAATAAACAAACTAAACTGGTGCCACAGATTTTTTGTTTTTATATTCATGAGAAATAATTATAGCAAAGTTTGCAATGTGTGTGTAATTTAAATAATACCTTTTTATGCAGCAGTGTATATTTCGTATTATTTTAAAGATCTCTCTCAGAAGTAGAAGGTTAAATTCGTAATAACAAGCTATTATTTGTGCACTATTTATTTACATAAAAGGTTGTAATATAAAACAGTTCACCTATTTCTATAGATGCATCCAACATAACTTCTGCAATGTGCATAAAAACACAATTAAAATGTTTCTTGATCCTGAATACAAATGCACTGACTATAAAAGTCTGAATAAAAACATAATTATTTGCTACCTTAACCGTAAGGTTGAAACAGAGTGGGTCATATGATGTCCTCATTTACAAACACACATTACAAATTATATGAGGCATATTTTTATATGCCTCAGAAACAAATAAGTTTTTATTTCTTTAGAAAGGGCAAACATGAATTTTTATGTTTAAATAATAATGATATTAGATCATGTAAGATGCTAAATGTTAACCAAAGCAAGTAGAGATAAATGTGAATTTGTCATAAGTAACAAAATTCTAACAACGTTAGTATTTGACTTCCATACAAAATACTAAATCATTATAACTGTAATAAATGCTGAAAAGCAATAGATAATAAAAAAGATGGTTCCAGTAATAGGCCAATTAGTAACCAGGGTTCTAGCTAGGAATTTCTTAAGGCATGTTGTAAAAAAAATTACTAGGCAAATGGCTTGGCTTGGAATATTGACAGTAACTTTTTGGATACTACAGAGAAACTCTTAAGTTAAAAATTGTTTGAGAAATGAATATGAAAAAGCATTTCTGATGAATAATGGGCCTTTAAATATATTTGTCAAGAGAATGTTGAACATTATTGCTATAATTTGATGGCATTAACCCTCACCATGGTACCAGAGTTGATTAGCCTTTGCCTTAAAAGTCTGACCAGGTTCTAAGTATACATGTTCATGTAATACTATTGGTAGCTCAATTTTGGGTATTTTGTTATTGAAATCTCTCAAAATTCAAATGGACTGTCTGAATTTTTAAAGAAGGGCAAATTAATTATACAAATTCTGCAGATTTTTGGTTAAAGTCTGAATGCTACTAGGCAACAATTTCTGCCTGGTATTGCTGCAACTAGTCGAGTGATTGCTCAATTTTGATATTTGATATTGTCCTTTAAAATTATTATTTATAACAGTAAACAATCTCAGTTGTAAGTCAAAACATTACAAAAATACATTAGGCTTAATGTTAAGTATATTCTTTTATTTTGCAGAAGTGGTATTAAATAATAAAAAGAAATGCATTCTAGAATGATATTATAACAATTTGAGTCTGTCAGTGCATAATGAGATTTCTGTTTAGGTTTTCAACCAACTTTATTAGTCATTTTAAATTTGTGAACTTTTCTTTAATTTCTAGCACCTGACATTAGCTCCGAGAACATGTTTTTATTGATTTCATGACTGAGGAATTGTTGACTTTTTTCAAGGCATCAAAATTTTCCGAATTAATTAGAATATAGATAAAATGATAGTTTATTATCTCAACGCCACAGTTTTTTACCCCAACGCCACTATAAACAAATTACATATGTCCATTATCACTATGGGAAATCTAAAAGTACGACGAGACTTCCCGGACAGTTAAAAGTCTTGAACCGGCGTTGTAATTCGGGTGAAAAGATGTGATTTTAACAGCAAATAAACAACAATTACAAGAAATGTGAATATACATACTTAGAGAAACATTCATGACATCCATTGCCAATGTTTGATTAGAATTAAATTGCGTAAATAAGTCATCTTCCGCCAATTCTTCTAACAAAATCGCTGATATTATTCTCCTGTCCGCCATCTTTAAACATTTGCGCCAAAACGGTTCGTTCGATTAACTGTTACGTAACAGTAACGGTGATTGGCTAACGTAAAATGGGTACTGAACGCACTGCTGATATCCTCCAGAATTGGAAAGTTTTATTCCTATGCAACTTATTAGAAAAAATAGCTTGTCATGTCTAAAATATATGTCATGCTGAAAAAAACAAAACAGCTACTCTATATACTAGTAATTTTGTTCATATTGCTGTACAATAAAGTCGTAGCAAGCTTGTTTTGTCTGAAATAAATGTCTCTATATGCATAATTGAGGTATCTGCAGGGGTAACAAGACTATAGACTTATTTATACAGGGACAATAATGAAAGAATAATGTCTCTTATATGATGGTTTGAGAAGAAAATTTGTTTCCTTAGGGATGTCATGGGGTGTTTTATAGTGGAAGTTTTGCTTTTATAGCCAATGTTCTGTCTAAATACAACTCTAGCTGTCATTCTGATGAAAATATTGTGTGTGTTAAATTCTTGCTCAAATGTTTTTGTTCTGCTGTCTATAACTATTTAACTTTAGTCGGTCAAAGTTAATTTAACTTTAGTCAGTCAAAGTTATATAGAACAGAATGTAAAACTGTCCTGATATATTTTACATCATCACACACAATGAAATAATCATACTTTCTTTATCAATTTGTTACTCTAGTACTCGGGAACCCTATATTCAGATGTATAGACATTCCATGTTAACTTATTCTCACAGTTAAAAGAATGAAGATTTCTTAAGATGATAATTATGCGCTATAGATTTTGTCTGAAAAATGAAAATTTGTAATTACCGCAGTGTTTTAATTAGCATAGACATACCATGTAAATTTCTATGGAAAATGACATTGAATGCATATTATATCATGCATTGATGTAATATATTACATAGAAGATGATTACGTTTGCATATTTGATAATTGTAACATGCAATATATGTGTATACAACTCAAGCACTTGCATAAAGTTAAAAGCCTGCATTGTAATATGACATGTGTGTCATCCCCATGATCTAAAATTTATTGGTGTCACTTTCCTTTAATCTTTCCCACAGTAAGAATAGTTTATAGTTTTAAATGTTGATCAATAAAATAAAGTAGTTTTAAAATTTATTTTAAAGTTTCTGCTGCAATAATTTAAAATTTAAAATAATATTGACTTTTTGCTGCAATTGAAGTAACCATAATTTAGGAGACATATCAAGCTTGTATGATATAATTTATGGGATGGGGATGCTAAAATTCCTGTTGACTCCCAAACACACACACACACACATGAAAAGTGCCTTGAAATTATGGCATATAAAATAAATTATTATGACATTCATAATAGCCAAAAAAAAAAGCCCAATTCTCAATATAGAAGCTTAACTAAAGAAAGCACAATGCTACAAAACAGAACAATTTTAAACCAGTGAAGATTTTCTAATTATTTAATTAATAAAAAAAAAAACAACAATTTTCTTGTATCTTTCAGGAATTTGCCAACTAAAGACAGGGAGGAGTGTGAAAGGCATCAGAAAGAGTATGAGGCCATGGTAGAGGCTGCCAAGAGGAAAGGTATGTCAGCATGAACTGTTCTACTTTGAAATAAATATAAGCTAAGCTGCTTTATTGAAAAATTAAGTATGAAACAGTCTGGTATCCCAGATATATTTATATGAAGTTAACATATTGGAAGAGCACAAATTATGTTGAATATTTAAAAAAAAAAACAGAAAAAAAAAACAAGAAAAACAAACTTTGAGCAAGTAACTTTACCAAATACAGTCAAACTTGTATTAAGCGACCGCGCAAGGGAAACACCAAAAACGGTCGCTTAATGAAACAGTCTCTTAAGACAAAGCATGATAAAAAGTCAAAATTTATACATGTACATGACATCTTTCTTTTTCGGTGGGAATGTTTTTCAACTTCATTTATATAAATGTTTAATAATTAGAACGCTCAGATAATCTAATGCTAATGTAAAAAAAAAACTTTCTGATATTTATTGACAAATCAGTTTTGATCCATTACGAACATGTGTGTTTGACATTTTTCCAGAATTTTTAAACTTCTCTCTTGTATTTCCTTGTCTCCAACACGAAAACCCTGATAAGTGAAGTTTTTTTCTGTTGTGCATTTTTTCATTTGAAATAAACAAACTGCATCTGATTGTAACGATTAATTTAATTGCTGATCAAGTTCAAGGTCAATTCAATGCAGTCTAAATATCAACAGCTAAGCGTATACACCATCTGAGTAGGGGCGGAGCGTTACATTGTGTTATCGATATTATTGGATAATACACGTCACGCGTATACGTACCTTTATTTGCATACACTAAAACGGTTTGGCAAATAGAGTTTTTCACACATTTATATATGGTATTTTGATTGTTGACACTTGTGACATTACCAGGCGGCATTCTCTAAAACACAATTACTTCACAAGTAAAAGTGGTCGTTTAATGAAAAGATTGATCTCAATAAGCTGACTAATTAGCGGTCGTTGGTCGCGTTGAGCAAAAGTCCCTTAATACATTAAAGATATAGATAGAAAATGAACGGGGGGAATTGAAAGTGACCGCATTAGACAAAAGTCGCTTAATACACTTGGTCGCACGGGCAAGTTAGATTGTAGTAAGATTTTTTTTGGTATTAGTGCCTTAGAATAAAGATCATTTATACATGTAGAATAACAGTTTACTGTAGTTATATAACAGATATCATGCAAATTGTGAAGGAATTTTTATTTTAGGTTAGCTGCTGTTACTGCATATTTGTACATGTATCACCACCATGCTCTCATGTAAATCTTACTTGTTTTTTTTTTCATTCCCTGAACCAGATGACTGCAGATATAAAACAGCCCACTGAGAAAAGTGAGTTGTTGGGTCTTTGAAACTAAATATTGAATACGATAAATGATTGCTTTGAATATGATTTCAGAGCAAAAGGAGTTAAAACAGAAGAAAAAGTTGATGCAGCAACAGTTAAGACAAGAAGAACAACTGATGGCAGCAGCTAGGGTCTGGAACAAGGATATACTGCCTAACTGGGACTCTGTGTAAGTTGTGTTTATATGATAGAAATACAGTCACCTTATTTTTCTTTCAGTTTATTTACTGTCGCATGTTGGATGTGCAATCAATGCAATGCCCCCTGAAGAGTTTGTTTCCTTTCATAGCTAGTGCATAGTGCTTGGATACAGCAGTTGCCAAATGGGCCACCCTGGCTCTATAAGATGCTGTGTACACATGGCACCTCACTTTTCAAGGTCTCATCCAAAACAAAATCATAAAATATTGATAGTGGTGAAGCTGGGAATCGAACCTGCAAGCCCTTGATAGACTTTCCTATAAATTATAGTTACTTCTGTAGCATGAGGAAAAATAAACAACAGTTTGGTAAAACAGGTTTTGACACATCCTTAGAAATTCCAGACACTAAAATTAATGTAGGGAAGTGCTTTTAGTAAAAATGCTATGTTGGTCCATCTTGGCATGTCAAAGACAGGCTGTCCAGCGTCCCTAAAATTCCTAAAAAATCCTAATTTTTTTCAGTTTGGCTAAAATTCCTAAAAAAATGAAAAATTCAAAGGGAATTCCTAAAAATGCCCTATTTTTTCACTTTAATTCCTATTTTTTTTTTATCTTTTGTGATAAACATATCCAGAAACAACCATGTTTCAATCACAACCTAACTTCAAACACAGTCAGTGGAGTTGATATCATGTCTGGCTAAATTGCATAAGTCACGCTTTGCATTTACTTCAACTCCTGCAGAAATGCCATACTTGATTAATTGTCAGATGTTATCAGAAAAATAATAAGAAACTGTTTGTTTTTAATGAAAATTGTACCACTTTGACTATATCAAAATGGTCACTTGTTTAAAATTGTGATAAAAAATTTCCAAGGAAGTCACATTTTTATTGGCTACAGAGTTTTACCATTTACCTCAGTCTTAGATTTATTTAAAGCAACTATTTACACGATGTACCACTAAATTTCATCAGACTGCATGCAGGGGTCCTTATTAATAAAATCTTAATTTGTAATCAAGTTATTTTCAAGTGATGACTGTAGAACATATCTTTTGTAAGTGATACCAGCTGGCAGATCTAGACAAGTTTCAATATTTGCTAATTATAAAGTGGGTAAGGTAAACTGGCAGTAGTGATTGGATGCTTTAACCATTTTGCTACCCAATTACTAAGAAGTGACACCTTCAGCTGCCCTTTTTGTACACATTAACATGTACTGAACATATGTAATAACATATAGTGTAAGTTTTTTTTAAAATCTGGAAAAAAAAACTGTTGAAAATCAATGAATCAAATTTCTACAATTTTTAGTAGCCTGATTTATCTTGAACAGTGAAATTTTCTACAATTTTAGTAGCCTGATTTATCTTGAACAAGTTCTTCATATGTGTATATCCTGCTGTTTGAATTTAAGTTTAACTATGCCTGGGAATGACTCTAGTGGGTCATATCATTTTTATTGTTTTTTAAGAAAGATCAAGACTTGTTGAACATGTACCAACCTTAAAATGTTGGTAAGAAATGCATTTATAGCTAAAATAAATTTAAAGCATAACATCCCCTTCCATATATTATCGGCTTATTATATCTTTACTAATTATTTTAACTTGATTAATTGTCAGAAGTTATCAGAAAAATATAAGAAACTGTTAGTTTTAAATGGAACAATGAAAATTGTACCACTTTGACTATATCAAAATAGTCACCTGTTTAAAAATTTTCCAAGGAAGTTACATTTTTATTGGCTAATCATAGCTTAACTAATTGAATATTGGTTGTTCCTGGATTCTTATAACTTAGAAAATGTTTTCATTCTAGTTATGTTTAATGTAGTTTTTCAGCTCTTTTTAAAGGCAGTTGGCCAGTGAATCAATTTATTCACTGGTGACTATGGAACACTGGTAACACCTTTGCTATAACCGAACTAGAGCATTATTTGTGAGTTACTTTTGTGTCAAATATGCAAAATTGAGCCCATATCATGGTCTTTTGAGGCCATAATTTAGTATAAAATTCCAAATTTGAGCCCTACATTTTCTTTTATTTACCCTAAAATTCCTAAATTTTAGCCCTAAAATTTCTTAAAAATTGCCCTAAAATTTGCCCTAATTTTTTGTCAGAAGGTGCTGGACAGCCTGCAAAGATTTAGAACTGAGCACTACCTTGTTACATGTGAAACACATTCATATTAGAGCAGATTTCCCCTCTCACTGGTTTGTAGTGAGAGGAAACATTACAATGAAAGTTACTATTATATGGAGTGTTTTCTGTTATTACATTAATGTAGCAATATATATCCCCATGTTCAGACATAGAATGAGTCAGTTATAACTGTAGGAACACTGCAGGTTTCACTGATACCCATAGTTACTTAGATGCAAAAAAGCATTTCCATAGACAAGTTATATAAACATTGTAACTCGACAATGGTCCGTCTTACCAAACATGGCTCCTGTTTAAATAAATACAAAATATTTCTATTTTTTTTGCGAGTACCAAAACCAAAGGTGCATAATATTTATTTGTAGGTTGTTGTTTTGTTTTTTTTGACAATAGAAAGATAAAGGCTTTGATACAGAAAGTTTTATATCAGTAGACCCATGCAACTGAAATTTATAAAATATTTTTGAAATTTAGAGTAATAAGCCAGTTTTTACATTTAACAGAACTCATGCTGTACTAGTTTCATGAAGTCTTTACAGAATGTAGTTGTATTATAAGATGTACAGTTAAAACACATTATTTTACTTTATCTCTAAATTTTCAGTACATTGCACATTAAGATAATTATACACGTCTATTATTGTGTCACTTTAATGACTGTTTCAACACATACAATTTAAACTCCCATTGATGATATCTTAAAATTTAAAATTCACCAAAAAAGCAACAAAAAACATCGTGAAAAATATTTATCTGTCTTCTTGATCTAGGTTGTATAATATATGCATTTAATTAATGGAAATAAAGAAGTATGTGCATTTAATTGGTGAGAAAATGAGCTTATTCTCCTTGACTTGAAATTTGTATACATGACATAATTTGAATGTGAAATAACATGAACATTTGAATACCCAATGTGATTACAAAGAGTAGTGTAGTGACTGAGAGTTATAGATGTTATAGATTTCTTTTAGTTCAGTCTTAGTTCAGTCTCTTTTTTGCAGCTTTGTTTTCTACTGGCACTAGTCATTTAAAACCATGCTAACTGTTAGAATTTTTTAGAGAAAAAAATTACGAAGGTGTTAAAAGTAATGCTTTATGCAGTTATATCTAGTGTCACATTATTTCCTTGTTTAACCATCCCCTTTATTAAAGGGACTCCACTTAGGTTTTTTTACATGACCGGACTGGACATTATTTTATGAGATAAGTGTATCATTTGATGTAGGTCTGCATCTATAACCTGGGTACACAATTTTAGATAATTTGCTCACTCCATTACTCATAAGCAAAATTAATGATGCCTGTTTAAATTTTATAGAAAGAACACAAAGAAGGTACGAGATTTATGGTGGCATGGCGTACCAACAAATGTACGAGGGAAAGTCTGGAAGCTTGCCCTTGGTAATGATCTGAACATAACCCCAGGTAAGTTATATTCCACCATTGACTTAGGACACCTGAATATTTAAACAAAACCTGAAATTATATATTTATAGTAAATATCTAAAGTGATAATTTTTGTTGTTAAGATATGAAATGAAGGAATTAACACAGCATGGTTTTAATTTTTGGAATTTCTTTAAGTTCAGAGAATTACAGAATAACTGGACTGATGCTTAAAACTTCCATACTTTAGTGACTACTATTTACTATATATTAGTAATATTTTTAAGGGGCAAATATATGCAGGCATTAAGATGATTTACAATCATGCTTTAACATTTCAGTTTAATTACAAAAAACATGTTGTCACCTTAGTGCAGTAACAGGCTAAGTCCAAATAAATTTAATAGGTGTTAACTTGTTAATGCACTAAGGTGAAGACATGTATTTGTAATATTTGTTTCTGTTTGTGCAAAGATTATAAGGAAAATATCAATTATAGATAACTTAACAGAATCAAGAACAGAACAGAATTTGGTTAAAAAAAAAAAGCAAACAAAGAATACAAACATTTTTTGTGCTTAAAATGTTGTGTTGGTCAGGCTAGAAGAATTGGAATAATCAAGCACAATTTGCTAATGCATGTTATGGAAATGTGTTTCAGTCAGACTGTATATTCCCTGCAATATCAGACAGTATAATTTGCTTGTATTGGTGTTGTTCTACTACAATTTGTTTTCTAAGTGCTGAAATGAGCCGTGTCATGACAAAACCAACATAATGCATTTACGACCAGCATGGATCCAGACCAGCCTGCGCATCCGCGCAGTCTGATCAGGATCCATGCTGTTCGCTATCGGTTTCTCTACTTGTTATAGGGTTTGTAAGTGTACAGCATGGATTCTGATCAGACTGCGCGGATGGGCAGGCAGGTCTGGATCCATGCTGGTTGCAAATGCATTATGTTGGTTTTGTCGTGACATGGCTCAAATATTGATTTGAAAGTAAATTAGAAGATTAGTTAGATTGTGATGAGAATTGATGAGAATAAGGTGCAGATACTGTGAAATGAATTTTCAATTAATTTTATGGATGGTGCCTTTTGTGATTATGGCTTAATAAGTTTTTTTTGAGACTCCTTGTAAATTTTGGGTCATCCATATTTTAGTATGGATTACATGTATTAATATCTACTGAGATGTGAATTTAATAGTCATTTGTTAAAACTGAAAGATTTTACAGCAAATCTGTCAGAGCCAACATTCGTTGACTCTATTAAGTCAAAAATCTTAATCCAAAAATCTCTTATTTGAAATATGAATTCTAGAGATTAACCTGTTTATTGTACACTAAAAAGTAAGAATTGTGAAATTTACCCTTATTGTTTTAAATCATAATTGTTAGAATCCTTTTAGGGATTCCGTTTTTCTCTATTTTACCTCCTAAATCTCACAAACAAAACCAATTTTGAGTGTCATAAGAGATTTCATAGAATGCCATGTATTCTTTTTAAAACAAAAGTGGAATCTGATTATAAAAGATATGTTGGGTTTTTTTTAAACAAAGAGGTATATAAAAATGCTTTTATAAGCTTTGCAATAACCATAGCAACGTTGTCAGAGACATTTAATGACTCTGTATGATGGAATGATCCAATGTTTACATAACTAAGCATTGACAGGTAACTAGATGATTAAAGAATTGATTTTCACACTTTCAGAATTGTATGAGATATGTGTGAGTAGAGCAGCAGATAAAATCAAACAGATGGATGAAGCCCCTGTCATATATGGCCCTACAGAAAGTAAGTTATCTCAAATTATTTATTTAAGGCCTATAACTCAGACGTTTATTTTGACAGAGTTATGGCCCTTTTTTAACTTTGAAAATTCTACATTATTCATGCTCAATTTTTAATAACAAGCACTGAGAATAGTGAAGCAGCTCCTGTGAACAATTAAAATGTTTATTCTGGAAAAATGAAATTACTGGATGATATAAATTTTTCACACAAGTTATCAGTCCAGACTTGCATCAAATGGTTACACAATAATCTTGATTAAAAATTCTAGCAGTGTCAAAAAACATCAGTGATGTCCTTTTAATGTATTTATATATTTATTTATGATTATATTTTATATTACAGCTTGCTCAGAGCCCCCGTCCAGTAAGGAATCAAGTGTTGAACTCATAAAACTTGATGTCTCCAGAACATTCCCACAACTCTGTATATTTCAGAAGGTAAATCTTACTGTGTCTACATGTTTTGAGGTATTTTTGCCACATCATTTTGTATTTGTCCATGTTTTACTTGACCTGAAGTAAAAAATGAGTGTTTTTATGAAACTAAAAGTCATATATTAATTGAAAAATCATGTATTTCTTGAAATATTTACTTGAATTTTATAAGGCAATCAAAATATTTACAAAGAAATTTAATGAAAGTAAATACATCTTTTCCAGTAATTTTAAGGTAACGATTTAATGAACATGAATTTATCCTTTCCAGTTATTTATAGCCAATTATAGGTAAGGAAGGTATCTTTGGTAAATGTCAGTAGAATGTAGATAAAGATTTCTTTTTAGATTTGAAAATTTTAACTGCTTACTAGCTTAAAAAGGTTACAGAATTTGATAGAGACTGTTGACATTAAAACATTTTACTATATAAACTGATGTAATTTTACAGGGTGGACCCTACCATGATTTACTCCACAGTTTACTAGGTGCCTATGCCTGTTACAGACCTGATATTGGTTATGTAAGTAAATTATTAGTTCTCAGTATTTATATGAGTATGTAAATATAATGAATTAAAATGGGAAGCAAGGTAAGATGTACAAAGGCTGAAAAAAGCTGAGTGATTTGTCAATCTTTGTCAGTGCTGATAAAAGTTTGGGCAAAAGGCTTTGTGACTTTTCAGTCTCTGTGTCAGTGAAAATTTGACAAAGCCTGTGTAATTTGTCAGTCTTTATATGTTTCAGTGTAAAGGTTAACAAAGCCTGTGTAATTTGTCAGATTCTATTTGTGTCCGTGAAAGGATTACCAAGGCTGTATAATTTGTCAGATTCTATTTGTGTCCGTGAAAGGATTACCAAGGCTGTATAATTTGTCAGATTCTATTTGTGTCCGTGAAAGGATTACCAAGGCTGTGTAATTTGTCAGATTCTATTTGTGTCCGTGAAAGGATTACCAAGGCTGTATAATTTGTCAGATTCTATTTGTGTCCGTGAAAGGATTACCAAGGCTGTATAATTTGTCAGATTCTATTTGTGTCCGTGAAAGGATTACCAAGGCTGTATAATTTGTCAGATTCTATTTGTGTCCGTGAAAGGATTACCAAGGCTGTATAATTTGTCAGATTCTATTTGTGTCCGTGAAAGGATTACCAAGGCTGTGTAATTTGTCAGATTCTATTTGTGTGTGTTAAAGGTTGAGAAAGGCTGTATGATTTGTCAATATCTGTGTCAGTTTGAGTCAGCCTGTGTAATTTGTCAATCTCTATTTGTCAGTAAAAGGTTGAGAAAGGCTGTGTGATTTGCTGTCCTCTGTTTATAAATGACAGTAAAATTTTGGGAAAGGATGAGTGATTTGTCAATATGTTTTAGACAAGAAATCATTTTGCAGTACAGAACTTACTTGTGTTACACTTTGAATGACCTTACTAGGAGGAAAGAATATCTTTAGTCTCCCTCTAGACTTCATGTCCAGACTGCAATGTTAATATACCAGTCTAGGCTTGTTTCCTCGTCTTCCTTTTATTGATGTCTGTGCATTTTTCTGCCATATCCAGAAGTAATGTAAACTAAATTGTCTACAAAAGACTAGAGAGAATGTAATTACACTTGTTTTACGCAAAGAAAAAACCAGAATTTATTTGTCTGAGCTTGCAGTGATCTGGTAATAAGAAGATAAATCATGTCCACCATTGATACTTATTTCTATAATTCTTTCCTTTGGAAACCTTATTAATGCTAGCACTGCTTTTGAAGTCGTAAAACCAAGTTGTCTTCGTAATATTAATGCCATTATATTTATTTGCATCTTTGTGCTTTAGATTATCATTAAAAAGATGATTATGAAAACTTATCAAACTGTTGCTGTGTAAAAAAAGATCTTAGTATTCTGATGAAAACTTATATTATATACATTGTCTGTTTATCAATTTCATGTACCAGTAAATGTTTTTAAGTGTCTTTTGATAAAACAAGAAAAAAAACACCTTTTTTCTTTAGTTAACTTTGATGTAAGCTAAAATCAATATGTTTTACAGCATTATCCTGCAAGACGAGTGACTCTGAAAATATTTTTTGTTGCATGTTAGGTTGATGTTTCTCCAGACAAATTTTAATGAAGTAATTGTAAAGTTTTTTCATGACACAGTAAGAGAAAATAAATATGTATGGATTTCTGATTTTATGTTGAAAATAAAAACACTTATTAGGGGTTATATTGGTAACATATTACTTAGTTTGATCTTTATAATGGTACAGATGTAAGGGTAAAACAAAGTTGAGAATAAAATATTTGTATCGTACTAAATCCATATTAGATATGTATATATGGATATATAGTACTAGTTTTATTAACAAAATAGTGATGTGATCCTTTTAGTGGAATATTTGATCATGATTTGTGTTGTATATTTACAGGTACAAGGCATGTCGTTCATATCGGCTGTATTACTATTGAATATGGATGTAGCAGATGCTTTTATCTGTTTTGCTAACCTGCTCAACAGACCATGCCAAGTTGCCTTCTTTAGAGTTGATGAAGGATTGGTAAGTATAGTGAGTTTTACAAGTTAAATTATCGTCAAGTGACATTATACTCATTTTTATGCCGTCAAGTTTAGCTGAATAAGCTGTAATTATATTTTAAAAGGATGACTCTAATAATTGTGATTAACCAATAATTGGTAATGACAGACATTTAGGATATATATATAATTAGTTCTATAAAAACAAATGATTTTCTTTAGCTTGTCTTCTTTCAAGTTGATGAAGGATTTTTTAAAAGATATTTAGGATAAAATATAAAAAGCTGCCTTAAATATAAATAGACTGAACCTCTCTTCTTTATCATTTGAATACTACTTATACTTCCGGAAGGATGTTTATAGAAATTTCTGCGGGTCATGTGAAGTATTGATTATTCATGCAAAGTAGAATTTAAAATGAAAACATTGTAACAGTTTGTCAGTAATTTTCTTTACTTTTGATCTAACACTTGTATCATACTGAATATGTACATCATGAAGACCTAGGCATTTAATCAAATAAATCATCATACTTTGCACAGTTCAAATATTCCTTTTGTACGCCTCTATGATGTTTGTGAAGTACACCAAAAGAGAGACAACTGTTGAAAGCCTGCAGTCTTTCTTTATATGATTATCTCCCATGTATTGCAAAATAAATATTTTTAGATAATATGTACACTATGATTTACAGAAAATTAATATTGGAATGGTTTTTTTCTGTTCATTAAAAGTTTGTAAACTAATACCTTTACCTGAAAAGTACAGATAAATACATGGAGCTCTAATTATATTTATTTCTTCAGATGAAGGTGTATTTTCAAACATACGAAGAATTCTTTGTTGAGAACATGCCTGTTTTATGTCATCACTTTAAGAAGAACAACCTTACTCCTGATCTCTATCTCTATGATTGGTAAGTTTATCAGATTATTTTGCTCCTTGAATGTTAGTATTGATAGTAAAAGCCCTTTATAAACTATTAAGATGGTCCTACTATAACGTCACCTTAGTGCAAAAACTCAATAACTGCATATAGATAAAGAAGCAGATATTGAGTTCTTGCACTAAGGTGACGATAAATGCTTTTCCTCAAAAAAATCTAACATCGGCGAATATCGTAGCAAATTGGTTATTTCCAGACGTTTAATTTTTTCAAACTTTTGGGCATTAGATTGTTTACAATCACTCATCCTTTATTATTATGTACTAAATTCCGGTTTTAAACGGTTAAAAATTATTGAATAACAAAGATTGTGAAAAATAACGTTCTGGAAATGACCAGTTTATTACGATATTGGTCGATGTTAGAAATTTTTTGGCGGGAAAGCATTGCAGTAAGACTACCTTAAAAAAACATGAAGCCTACTTGCATATTACTATAATCAACACAGACCAGACTCTGTATATATTTAAAGCTGCTGTAAGCATCATTTGCAAGTTCTAAATTACTTTCTTTGTTCACTTAACAATATTCTACTTCTAAAAAATTTCATGAAAATTAGCATGAATCTGGAGGCATGCCGCTTTAAAACTATTCAGTTTTGATATTTTCATATTGATCTCACTTTAGCTATAAATGGACTGCTCCAAATAAAAAAACAGGTCAAGTCCATTAAACAATTTTAGGGGTGTAATATTCATAATAATGTTTATTTAGATTTGGTTATATTGAAAACTGCAAATAAATTTGCAGTCTGTCTACTAAAGTTATGGGTAAATTTTTTATAAGCTCACCTGTCACAAAGTGACAAAGTCCGGTGTCCGTCCGTCTGTAAACTTTTACTTTAAACAACATCTCATAAACCGCTGAGCCAATTTCATCCAAACTTCACAAGAATGTTCCTTTGGTAGTCAATCAAAAAATTTAATTTCATGCAGAACTTTGGTTGCCATGGCAATCGAAAGAAAAAAACTTAAAAAATCTTTTTAAAAACCAAAAAAAGCTAGAGCTTACATCTTTGGCATGAAACATTGTCTAGTCAATGTCTACCAAGTTTGTGAAAATAAAAGCCCTGAGGTTAAAATTGGCCCTGCCCGGGGGTCATTGATTTTCCTTATTTATATATAGAAAAAACTTAAAAAATCTTCTTTTGAAAAGCCAAAAGAGCTAGAGCTTAAATCTTTTGCATGAAACATAGTCTAGTCAATGTTTACCAAGTTTGTTCAAATAAAGCCCTGGGGTCAAAAAAATTGGCCCGTTTGGGGGGGGGGGGTAGGGGGAGGGGTCATACTTTTTCCCTATATGTGTATAGTAAAAACTTAAAAAATCTTCTTTTAAAAACCCCATAGAGCTAGAGTTTACATACTTATCATGAAACATCTTTTAATGGGTCTCTACCAAGTTTATTCAAATAAAAGCTCTTAGGTTAGAATTGGCCCTGCCCCGGGGGCCTATATACAGGTTAGGGATTTCAGGGCCATCATGGCCCTCTTGTAAACACTGTTTAACAGCATTCTAACTTAAATAATGTATAAATAACATATTCAGCTAGTTCAAGATATTTTAGCTTGACTATTCGAAGAATATGAGAGCTATTGTAGTCGCGTTGGCGTCCGCGTCGGCGTCTGCGTTGGTTAAAGTTTTTTGTAAAGTCAAAAATCTCAATTATTACTTGAGATATTCAATTGAAACTTACAATACTTATTTATAGTAAGAAGGTACATCAGATTGACAAGTTGGATAACTCTGCCTACAATATTGACAGAATTATGCCCCTTTTTAACTTAGAAATTTTGGTTAAAGTTTTTTGTAAAGTCAAATATCTCAATTATTGCTTGAGATATTCAATTGAAACTTACAATACTTATTTATAGTAACAATGTACATCAGACTGACAAGTTGGATAACTATGCCTACAATATTGACAGAATTATGCCCCTTTTTAACTTAGAAATTTTGGTTAAAGTTTTTTGTAAAGTCAAATATCTCAATTATTGCTTGAGATATTCAATTGAAACTTACAATACTTATTTATAGTAACAATGTACATCAGATTGACAAGTTGGATAACACTGCCTACAATATTGACAGAATTATGCCCCTTTTTAACTTAGAAATTTTGGTTAAAGTTTTTTGTAAAGTCAAATATCTCAATTATTGCTTGAGATATTCAATTGAAACTTACAATACTTATTTATAGTAACAATGTACATCAGATTGACAAGTTGGATAACACTGCCTACAATATTGACAGAATTATGCCCCTTTGGAACTTAGAAATTTTGGTTAAAGTCTTTTTGTAAAGTCAAATATCTCAATTATTGCTCGAGATATTCAATTGAAATTTAAAATACTTTTTTATAGTAACAATGTACATCAGTTTGAAAAATTGCATAACTCTGCCTGCAATATTTGCAGAATTATTTGCCCCTTTGAAACTTAGAAATTTTGGTTAAAGGTTAAAGGTCTTCAAAGATATTTACTTGAAACTTTACACATGCACTTAGGGTCATTATTGGAGGGTCATAATTGTATGTCACTGACCAAGTTCGATAACTCTATCTTGCATTAAGGCTGATTCATATCCCCTTTTCTACTTAGTCTCTTGGTTAATGTTTACATGCAAGTTTAACATATCTCAATAACTATGAAAGATATTTATTTAAAACTTCACATATGCATTTAGGGTCATAATTGTAGGTCACTGACAAAGATCCATAATTCTATCTTGCATTTAGGCTGATTTTTTTCCCTTTTTCAACTTAGAAATTCATGGTAAAGTTTTGCTTGTAAGCTGTTATCTCAATAACTACTGAAAGGTTTGTGCCATTTTTGGGACAATTTTACGCCTTTATAATAATAAAGCAGTGAATTACTTGATAAAACATCTTAATAACAAGCCTTTGTACCTTTTCTGTCAAATTTATGTATTCATAGGTAATTAGTATTATTATACTCAATAAAACACCCTTGTGACATTACCTTCCGAATAGTCAAGCCAATACTGTATAATTAGACTCTCTCTAAGGCCTATAACATGAATTTATAAAAAAAATTAGCCCTTTTGTGAACTTAAAAAATTTAACATTATTAAGGCTCTTTTAACTATCAAGCAGCTTAGAATAGTCGAGGCCTGCTGTTCCTACCGACACTCTTGTTTTAATTTTCTGTATTGTTTCATTAATGTGATTTGTGTAAAGGTGGAATTTAAGGGTTAACATTTTAATTTGTATGTCAAATTTCTATATTTTCAGGATATATTTACATTAATTCAACGAAATCTTTCCATTAGACATAGCTTGCCGTGTTTGGGAATATTTTCTGTCCGATGAATGGTGAAAAAAATTCTTATTTCAGAACAGCAAATTAGGTATGTTAAAGAATTTAAAATTGTTTTTCATTTCTTTATATTTCACAACCTTTTTACCCCTGCTAGAGCTTAAAAAAAAGAGCCAGAAAACCAGACTGGTACTCAGTAATATTTAAAAGACTATTTATAATGTTATTAATGTTTATTCATTAGTAAGACTGGTAATGTTATAAATCATGCTGTCTGTCCAGGCTCTATAATTGGCTGACCAGTTTTAAATTTTCATCTTGATATCCCTCAAAATTGATAATGGACAGTTTCATAAATGGAAGCCGGACAAGTCTATTTTAAAAAGTTCAACAGGTGTCTTGTATTTCTAATGAAATGATAATGTGACATGATCAAATTTATAATTATTTGTTTCAAACATTAAAGGACGTTTAAGTTGCATATTTAAGAAATATTTTGTAAACACAAGTAATCCACATGCATATTAGTTGACAATGTGTTTTATCTCTTCTGATACTGGTGTGGTGGGATTATTTGTTGCCCCTCACCACTGTGGATTAGAATCCCACCTGAGGGACTTTGTTTCTTTCATGTGAGGAAGCTATCCAGCTAGCTTATGGCATGTTGGTGGTTCTACTGAAGTGCCTTTGGGGGGCATGAAAAAATGCACCCAAAAGGGAAACCCTTTGCTCCCCCCCACCCAATTTTTTTTTTGGAAAAAGAAATTTTAAAAGTGTTAATTGACATAAAAAACAACCAAAAGGGAAAATCCCCAAAGGGTTTTCATTGGACAAAGGGTTTTTTTAAAAAAATTCGTTTAACAGGGAACAAAATGTGCCAAAATTGGGAAAAATTTAAAACCCATTTTTTAAAAATATGTCATATAAATTTTTAAAATATATCTTACAGTCTTTATGATTATGCTACTCTGTATATTTCAGGTATATTAAAGTGTCACGAGGAAATTCTAATGGGCATGGACTTTATACATTTAGCTCAGTTTCTAACCAAATTACCAGAAAGAGACTCTTACGATGCATTGTTTAGATGTATAGAATCTATACAAATGACAATAGACAAGAAGAAATTCTCACAGGTTCTAGCTAGTGTTAAGGATAGTAGGGACAATACTTGATGATAGTGTGCAAGAAATACGGAGAAATTTATTTATTACAAGAATTTCATAGAAAGCCTCACCTGGTGTGAGTTGACAAAATGGGAACCCTGGTGGTTACAACAACCATAAAATGTGCATATACCATAAAATGTGCATCCGGTGGTTAGAAATACCGTAAAATGTGCATCCGGTGGTTAGAAATACCATTAAATGTGCATCCGGTGGTTAGAAATACCATAAAATGTGCATCGGGTGGTTAGAAATACCATTAAATGTGCATCATGTGGTTACAACAACCATAAAATGTGCATCTGGTGGTTACAACAACCATAAAATGTGCATCTGGTGGTAACAACAACTATAAAAATGTGCATCTGGTGGTTACAACAACCTTAATATGTGCATCTGGTGGTTACAACAACCATAAAATGTGCATCTGGTGGTTACAACAACTATAAAATGTGCATCTTGCTTTGAAAAAGCTGGCCTTTTGTTTACTTGCTTATAAACTGTGTTGCACACAGAACATGAAGTGGAAGTGATTATGTATTTGGGAAGGGTGTGTTTTAAAAAAAAAAGGCTTGGAATTTTTTTGGACTTTGTTTACGAGTTGGGGTTTGTATTTTAAAGGCACCGTGTTTTTACGTTTCCCCGGGAATCTGGGCCCCCAAACCCCTTTAAAAGATTAAAAAATTTTTGTTTTAAACCCGACCCGATGGGGGTTTTGGGGGCCCTTTTGATGAAAAACTACTGCCCGTTTTAAAATTTTTATTTTAAAAATTGCCTTGTCACTGCTTGTTTTCCCTTACCATTCTAAAAATTTATAAATGGACTTGTCCAGCTTTTTCATTTGGACCAAACCAATTTATAAATTTTTTAAGGGGGAAAAAATTTTAAAATATTTAAAATACTCACTGAAATAACAAACCCGTTCAGGGAAAAATCAGATTGGGATAGTGTATTAACTTTTCCTTTTCTCTGTTTCTGGGTTTCCGGGGTTTTAAATTAAATTGCTGCCCAAACAGTGTATAGGTTAAAGGTTATTTTAAAAAAATTAATAAATTTTTTTTTTTTTAAAATGAGGTTTTTGTTGTTGTTTTTTTAAACTGAGTTTAAAACAGGATATAAGTGTAGAATTTCTAGGTTCTTTCTGTATGAGAATTGTCTAATATTGAAACTGGCATTCCCTGTTCTAGATCTGCCTTTTATAGGTTTTTTTTTAAATCATGTACCGGTACTTTTGTGTACATTTATGGTGTTGCTTCTGCAAAATTATTAACACATAGATGACCAATTTGTTGATTCTAAATGGTATAGATTCTACATAGTGGTCAAGATAAAAGGGAGATATAATTTTATGTTTTTGTGAATTATTTCACGGCAGTTTGATATGAATGTGAAATCCAACTTTTTTTCGTTACTGTTTGATAGTTATACAAAATAAATAGGTAAGCAGTAGGCATTTTATTACTTTGATTTAGTACCATCTGTTTCAGTCATGTCTTTAAATAATTGAATGACCACAAATAGAATGGCAACAATGTCATTATAATCAGTCTGTGTATAAGTCAGGCCATTTTAATGTGATGCAAACTAGATTTCTGTGTTCTGCTTAAAAATAAAACATTCAAGTAAAGTTAAGTAACTCCCCTTAATTTATACAAATTTATTTTAGTTTGATTGAGCCTATTGAAACACTTTCAAATTTGTTCCTGGGACAAACCAGTACTAAGCAATGAAAGTAAAGTTTCTTGCTTAAGAAAACAATGGCTTGTCTTTGACAGGGTTTGAAGCCACGTAGGCAGCAATACTTAGATTATTAGTCAGACGCGTTAACCACTCGGCCACATCGCCACTCAGTAAAGGGATACTTTTATCACAAAACAGCGATTACACATGCAGGGCATGTTTCTATTTATAATACTGATTTTTTTGTTTGCCTTATTTTTATGTAACCAGTTTTACTGTTGTTTTATTTATTGTCAATTCGTATCATAGATTTACCTGAACTAGTTTTGCTTTCTTTATGAATTTTTGTTCGTCTATGTCACAGTCATAGTATTAACTCATTTTTTTCTTGCCACAGGCTGTCCAGCGTCCCTAAAATTCCTAAAAAATCCTAATTTTTTTCAGTTTGGCTAAAATTCCTAAAAAAATGAAAAATTCAAAGGGAATTCCTAAAAATGCCCTATTTTTTCACTTTAATTCCTATTTTTTTTTTATCTTTTGTGATAAACATATCCAGAAACAACCATGTTTCAATCACAACCTAACTTCAAACACAGTCAGTGGAGTTGATATCATGTCTGGCTAAATTGCATAAGTCACGCTTTGCATTTACTTCAACTCCTGCAGAAATGCCATACTTGATTAATTGTCAGATGTTATCAGAAAAATAATAAGAAACTGTTTGTTTTTAATGAAAATTGTACCACTTTGACTATATCAAAATGGTCACTTGTTTAAAATTGTGATAAAAAATTTCCAAGGAAGTCACATTTTTATTGGCTACAGATTTTACCATTTACCTCAGTCTTAGATTTATTTAAAGCAACTATTTACACGATGTACCACTAAATTTCATCAGACTGCATGCAGGGGTCCTTATTAATAAAATCTTAATTTGTAATCAAGTTATTTTCAAGTGATGACTGTAGAACATATCTTTTGTAAGTGATACCAGCTGGCAGATCTAGACAAGTTTCAATATTTGCTAATTATAAAGTGGGTAAGGTAAACTGGCAGTAGTGATTGGATGCTTTAACCATTTTGCTACCCAATTACTAAGAAGTGACACCTTCAGCTGCCCTTTTTGTACACATTAACATGTACTGAACATATGTAATAACATATAGTGTAAGTTTTTTTAAAAATCTGGAAAAAAAACTGTTGAAAATCAATGAATCAAATTTCTACAATTTTTAGTAGCCTGATTTATCTTGAACAGTGAAATTTTCTACAATTTTAGTAGCCTGATTTATCTTGAACAAGTTCTTCATATGTGTATATCCTGCTGTTTGAATTTAAGTTAACTATGCCTGGGAATGACTCTAGTGGGTCATATCATTTTTATTGTTTTTTAAGAAAGATCAAGACTTGTTGACATGTACCAACCTTAAAATGTTGGTAAGAAATGCATTTATAGCTAAAATAAATTTAAAGCATAACATCCCCTTCCATATATTATCGCTTATTATATCTTTTTACTAATTATTTTAACTTGATTAATTGTCAGAAGTTATCAGAAAAATATAAGAAAACTGTTAGTTTTAAAATGGAACAATGAAAAATTGTACCACTTTGACTATATCAAAATAGTCACCTGTTAAAAAATTTTTCCAAGGAAGTTACATTTTTATTGGCTAATCATAGCTTAACTAATTGAATATTGGTTTGTTCCTGGATTCTTATAACTTAGAAAATGTTTTCATTCTAGTTATGTTTAAATGTAGTTTTTCAGCTCTTTTTAAAGGCAGTTGGCCAGTGAATCAATTTATTCACTGGTGACTATGGAACACTGGTAACACCTTTGCTATAACCGAACTAGAGCATTATTTGTGAGTTACTTTTGTGTCAAATATGCAAAATTGAGCCCATATCATGGTCTTTTGAGGCCATAATTTAGTATAAAATTCCAAATTTGAGCCCTACATTTTCTTTTATTTACCCTAAAATTCCTAAATTTTAGCCCTAAAATTTCTTAAAAATTGCCCTAAAATTTGCCCTAATTTTTTGTCAGAAGGTGCTGGACAGCCTGTTGCCACCTTTGTATAATAGGTTGTGTAATAGTGTCTTAATAGGGCATAAGTACATTTGATTTTTATACCCCCAAAAACGAAGTTTGGGGGGGTATATAGGAGTCACCCGGTGGTCGGTCGGTCCAGACGTCCTTTGCTTTTTTCTTGTCCGGAGCTTTACTTGAAGACTAATGGTTGGAATTCAATATAGCTACATACAATGGTCAAGCACATTGAGAGGAAGTGCAGTGCACAAGAACCATAACTCTATCTTGACTAATTACAGAGTTATTGCCCTTTGTTACTTTTCCTTGTCCGGGGCATAACTTGAAAACTACTGGTTGGAATTCAAAACAACTTCATACAATTGTATAACACAATAAGGGGAAGTGCAGTGCACAAGAACCATAACTCTATCTAAAGTAATTACAGAGTTATTGCCCTTTGTTGCTTTTCCATTGCCTTTTTTGTCCGGACCATAACATGAAGACTAATGGTTGGAATTCAATATAACTTCATACAATGGTCAAGCACATTGAGAGAAAGTGCAGTGCACAAGAACCATAACTCTATCTTGACTAATTACAGAGTTATTGCCCTTTGTTACTTTTCCTTGTCCAGAGTAAACTTGAAAACTACTGTTTGGAATTCAATACAACTTCATACAGTTGTCAAGGACATTAAAAGGAAGTGCAGTGCACAAGAGCCATAACTCCATTTTGACAAAATACAGAGTTACTGCCCTTTGATACTTTTCCTTGTCAGGAGCATAACTTAAAACGTACTGGTTGGAATTCAAAACAACTTCATACAATGGTCAAGCACAATAAGAGGAAGTGCAGTGCGCAAGAACTATAACTCTATCTTCAGTATTTATAGAGTTATTGCCCTTTGTTCCTTTTCTTTGTCTTTCTGGACTTATTACAGAGTAATTCAATTAAACTTCATCAATGGCCAACCACATTGAAAGGAAAAGCAACATATAAGAACCACAACTATCTTTAATTGCCCACAACCATAACTCTATTATTCAATTCTTTTACAAGGTATTCTGTTACTAGTAACATCCTCATTTCCGAAGCAGTCTTGTGGGGGTATTAATCACATTTGGTGATAGTTCTAGTTTTTTTTGCAAACCTGAATTCTTTTGAAGCTACTATTCCTCTGTTAGAGTAAATAATTTTCATTTTTAACACTTTATATCCCTGCTTTGTAGTAGATACCCCCTCCAAGCACAGATTTTTTTTAACAACCTCAAAAGTCACATGTCAATTTTAGCTTGGTAAGTATACAGAATGTACTCAGCAGGGTATCATTGACTGCTAGGTTTTTACTTTTGGTAAAGTTTTAGGAAGGGGATATTATTAGTCACCTTTTAATGATGTTTTTGCGACTTGAATGTGTCCAAGAACAAGAATTAAAATCCATACTTGAAACATTATAGTGTAGTGCCATTTTAGTAATAAATCAAAACATAGTTCTAGTGTGGATGAGAATGAAGTATGATGAATTGTTGTTTTTACATTTCATTTTAACCCTTACCATGTTAAATGGACTTGTCCATCTGTCAATCTGGACAGAACCATTTATCATTTTTAGGGAAAGTTAAAGGTTAATTACATATAAACAGGGATGTTAGATTATTTAATTATGTTTGATAAAATTAATGCACTAGATATAAATTAAAGGCGCATTATGCCTCAAAAATGCTTTAATTTTTATTTCTGAAAAGCTTTTTAATTTTTGAACTTTAATGGTATCCAAAAAGTTACTCATTGGCCAATTACCTGAACCATCTTTTTGATCT